ACTCCAGATGCCGTTCACACCAATCAATACCAGTTCACGCTCATCTTCGTAATCATCTTCCAGAAACTCCACTAGAACATTCAGACCTCCAGCACTGACAAACATTTGTAGCGTGAGGGTCGAAGTCTGGTACATCTGCTGCACGAATGCTGCAGCCTCCAGTCGAATCTCTCGAGGGTATTTCTTGGATGCGAACTCGTTGATGATGGGAATACCACCGACGAAGCATAGATTTTCTTGGATCTCATAATCGTCATAGATGATTGCGTTAACGACCCTCAGCAGACAGAAAACAATATCACGTCGACGAGTAGTGTCAAGGATCTCAAGAATAGGCAACATTCCGTGAGCACTGATGATGATGTTCTTTGTTTCTGGGAGATCACAGAAGATGTTGAACAGCTGATCGGAAATCTCTGCGAGAACCTCCTCATCCTGAGATGTTTTGAGAGAGCCCACGAGGCCCTCAACTTGGTTTCGTAGACGAGCGTATTTGTCACGGGCAATGTTAGCCTCCAGATCCATCTCATCGAATCCTTCTTCCAACTGCGCAAATGGGTCATCGTCGTCGTCTTGGTCGCCAAGCCATGAATTGTTGGATAGCTTGGAGTTTAACATCAATGTACTGCTCTGATCCGAGCCATCGTCGCTTTCGGCAATATCTAGAGCCGCTTGATCGGCACCAAGAATATCGGAGAAATCCTCATCGGTTTCGTTCTCCGCAAACCGTTGGATTTCGATGGCAGAGCGGTCTCGCTTAACAGAGAGCTGCTTCCGTAGCTGGGGGTATGCGCTACTGAACTCATCATCGGGAGGATTGTACCCTACATTTTCATGGATGGGAGAAGAAGGATCATCCTCAAAGTCCTGCAATGTGTTAGAAAGTCAATGGCTTGTCAAGATTGCAGAATTCTCACCTGGTATCCTCCCAGCTTCCGATCTAGCACATCTTCATTTGCCATGATAAGGTCGCTGTAGTCCTCGACAGAGTTCTCTTTATAGAGAGCAGCAGGACGAGCCCGTCTGGGCATGGGGTTTTGAGTGAGGATAGGAACATTTTGCAAAGCAGAAGCAGGAGGGTTAGAAGGTTGGCGGCGCGTAGGACTCGAGGATTTCGAAGGCTCTTGTGCTGCTGGCTTAGTAGGATATGGTCGAATCGTTTGGAGAGGATCATTTTCCGAGAATCCTGAATTTTCCTCCTCGAAGCTGTCATCGGATTTGAGTATCGTCCCATCCAGAGAGGCGAACGCTTTCAGTCTTTCAGAAGAGAGCATGCCTCCGAAGTTATCGTGTGGGCGTAGATGCGGCAACTTGAGTGCGCTAGGAGAGATCGCAGTAGCGAAGTCATCATCCCAATTGTCATCCTGCGCGGACTCGGGTGAGCGAAACCTATCTGTGGTTTTGATAGAAGTTGGTGATGGTAGAGTATCTACCAATGGAGTGTTTCGAGAAGATGGAATGGCGGCAGGATTATGGTAGTCAGGCTTCTGTATCCTTTTTGAAGTCCCTGCTTCGGGTGACCGCAAAGCTTCGTTCCATTCTTGGACACTCTTGACAGCCTCTTCATATTCTGTCGACTTCTTGGGAACCACCGAGTCTGATCTACGGGCATTGACAATCCATGGATGTTTGAGTAACTTTCGTGCGGAAACACGGAGGTTAGGATCTTTTTGGAAGCATTGCATAAGGAAATCTTTGACAGCCTAGATGATGTCAGTACTAGACAATCTCAGTGATGGGAAGAAAGCATACCGGTGAGGCACCCTGCGAGAAGGGAGGATGATCATCGTTTACGATACGAAACAATGCTGGCATCGGTTGCATGTTGTGATAAGGGGGCTTCCCCTCGAGAAGCTCGATGACGGTGCATCCCAAACTCCAGATATCTGAAGCCGTTGTTGCACCGGAAAGTTCAATGACCTCAGGGGCCATCCAATATGGCGTACCAACCACACTCGATTCACTCAATCCCGTGGTACGACTCGCGACACCGAAATCTGCAAGCTTGACAAGACCTTCTTTCGTGGTTAAAATGTTGGCACCCTTGATATCTCGGTGAATGACTCCCTGTTCATGTAGGTACAGCAGACCATGAAGAACTTGGGACATATAGAGACCAACGAGATTCTCTGGGAAACGACCAAAGTTCTTTGCAATCGAGTGCAGGGAACCATTTTCGCAATACCTGTCAATGTTAGATTTGCGGTCCAATGACCATGGAACCCAAAGAAACGTACTCCAAGATGATGTTTAGGGTTTCGGCAGACTTCACAAAGCCATGGTACTTGACGATATTGGGATGCTGCGAGTATAAAGATCAGTAGAAGCTCAGTCAAACATATCGTCGGAAGTGTCTCACATCCAGGTTTTTCAGAAGGTCAATTTCAAGCTGTTACACCGCGCGTTAGCCATATCAAATCCCCGAAGGATAAGCAACCAATATACCATGATAACGCGCAATTCGCTCTTGGGGAGGTCCGTCAACTTGATCTGCTTGACTGCGACGGTCTCCCCCGTGTTCCAATTCAGTGCGCGGTAGACTGAACCAAAAGCACCTTTGCCCAAACAGTCACCCAATTGCTGTTAAGCCAGTCAGCATCTGCCCAACCCATACTGAAGACATATTCCTACGTAGTCTTTGAGCTCCGCGACATCTTTCGCCGACGACTTCACTTTATCATCCTTCGGTTTCTCTTCACGCTTCGACGGACTTGTTCCAACTCGTGTCAGTCGCGGCTTTATCGGGGTTCCGGGCGTCCTGGAGGAGGGGGTGAGAGGGCGAGTCTGCCCCTCATTCCCTTCGGCGGACCGAGAGACCATAATAGCTCGAACCAGGATTAAGCTTATCCCAGTAGGTGTTTGGTCGGGTTGTTGGTCTCAGGACGAGGTTTCAGGTAGAGGGGGTGGGGTGGAAGCTAGGAAGGAGGCAAGAGCTGATAGCAACAGTCTCAGAGGTCATGTCCGCAGGATCTAGTTGAGGATTGTTAATTAATCTGAAGCATTCACCGCATCAAGAACAAGCGGGAAACAACATTTGTTTTGCAAGTGTTGGGGAAGGGTCTCACCAGGCGGACATTACAGGAGGGATTCAGCTCTCACGCTCTAGAGAGCCGTTGCAACAGCAAATCGAGGCGCATGCGAGATATCCAGATAAATACGATGGTCTGGACAGATTCCGGTGAACAACAATATCGGAAAGGCTGCGACAGGGCGTGAAGGGGTTGGCTGCAAAGAAATCGTGGTTGTTTTGAACTTTCTCCACCCGCATCATGCAGGCTGTGCTGGACAATCGCCGATCAGCCCTACGGTAACAAGTTTTACGGAATCTTCTTAATTAATACTCAATATCTATGGCCGAGGTATAACATGAGAATTACGATTTACTCGAAAAAATTGAATTACAAGGAAGAAAAGTGCCCAAAAAAGTGTTGTTTTGGTCAAATTGTCTATTATTTACAATCAACGTGGATCAACCATGCTAAAGTTCAACGCGATCTATCAAGCGATTTATACAGGGTATCATTTCTGTGCCTCTCGAAGAAGACGCAACACATCGGAGACAAGGTATAAGCTACCAGCAATGACAAGAGACTCGCCCTGGGCCTCTTGACTGGCCCATTTGAGAGCAGGGAGTAGATCACCCTCGAAGCTCTGGACTTGGCCAATATTGTGGATAGCTTGAATTGAAGAAGCGAGTTCTTGAGCATTGGTTGAAGTCACCCATGGCATTCCATCCACGGGTCCAAACTGGGCCGTTGCAACACGATCCCCGGGGCGGATAATGGAGCCGAATACTCCAGCCAGGTCTTTACCACTTGATGCGGCAACAACCCAAGTGACTGGCTTTCCACTGGTACGCATCTTGCGATCCACGTATTTGCCAAGTACTTCGGCAGACTGTGCATTATGAGCACCGTCGAGTAGAATAGGCTCTGCGCGGTCAACCAAGGGTTGGAGGGCGATCTTTTGCAGTCGGCCTGGCCAAGTCACGTCGGCAAGGTATGGAAGCAACGAGAAGACATCTGACTCAGGTCGGAGTTGGGACAAGGCAAGGCGCAGAGCGGAGACTGCGCAGCACATATTTTCTTGTTGATGGGGCTCCAAGTCGAGCTTCTTAAACAAAGACGCAAGCGGCGGAAGTTCTTCATAGACTTGCGCGGGAGAGACGAACGATGAATCAATACCGAGTTCTTGAATACGATCTTTCACCGTCTCGATTACTTCCCGCGTGTTTGTGTTGTCTATCACGCATGGTACGCTGGGTTTGAGAATGCCTGCCTTTTCACGGGCAATCTCCTCAACCGTAGACCCCAGGAATGCTTGATGATCCATCCCAATTTTTGTAATGACGGAGACAAGGACATCGGTGAGAACGTTTGTGGCATCTAGGCGACCTCCCATGCCCACTTCGACGACTCCGACCTCGACTCGCTCATGGTTGAATATCTCGAAGGCCGTTGCGGTCAAAAGCTCGAATTCGGAGGCGCCGATGCCTAACGCCTGGTCTCGTAGTTTGACCTGATCTTCTATCTGTCGAAAGAGGGATTCCTGGACCACCTTCTCGCCGATGGTGATGCAGTCCCACCGATCGATCAAATGCGGGGAAGTGAAGCGTCCGCAACGAACTCCTCCAGTAGCCAGCAGATGGGACAGGTAGGCACTGATAGAGCCCTTGCCGTTGGTCCCAGCAATATGAATGGCCTTCCATGTAAGCGGAGTCTGCTGAAGCAGACTCGCGACCCTACTCAATCCTAGTTCAATCATCCCGGTGGTATCGTATCGTGGTGAGTGGTTTGAGGTCAGTCGTCATTATATGGGTGCAGTAAGTAGTAAACGTAGCTTCAGGGCTTCATCGTGGGCATCGTAGGAAGCCTAAGCTGAACGTGCATAGTAGCGGGGACTTGCTGCTGTCCGGAGATGACCGCGGAGGTACACGTGACCTTCCAGCCACTTCCGGCCTGAGGCTGGCAAAAATCCCCAATCTCACCCGTTCTCCATCCCATACCCACTGTTATCTACAAGTCGCGTTTTCGCATCGTTCTTTTTCACTCGTTTTCACTCTGACTTCTTTACGGAATGGGTATCCCGTAAGTCATACTGCTCACTTCGCGCGACATTGTCGCACGCGACTGACTTCAATATAGGATGTGGCGTGAGCCTTCCAAGGCCGAGGTACATAAGTCTGCTATCGAGAAGGACCGCACTGCTGCTGCGCGTTCGACCATCGGCCGTCGGGGCTCATCGCGCCACGGTATCTCTCGTGCGCGCCGGAATGTCTTGGCTTCGTTTCAGTCGCAGGTTATCGATGAGCTCCGACGCGGCAGTGATCTCCCCCGGCGATCTCCTGTGCAGAACAACGGGATAAGTGAGGATGGAATGACATTGGCGCAAGCTCAACGCGAGGCTTTCAGCAGGGGTCCTTCCTCGCGCCGGAATCACCGCCAGCGGTCCGATCAATCCTACTCCCTGCGTGAAAATCAAGCCTTGACCGACCTGCTTGGTCGCCCAGGCTTTCACCCTCAGAGCTTCCGCAACGGTAGCCCTTCATTCACCCCGAACTTTGCTCCAGCTGCCGCATACCATACCCGCGGCTCCTCAACTCCCTCCTCGGACGACATGCGGCTTCCGCCCCTGCGTCGCACAGACAGCCCCAGTGACGAGCCTTCCTTCTTCATGCCGTCAAGCCTCATTCGTATCAATCGAAACGCGGCCCAGCCAAGTCGACTGAACCGAGAGACCGCGATGGATGGGCTTGGGGATCGCCAACGCAGCCCGAGTCCTGACGGAGATCGCGATACTATCGCGTGGGAAACTTTGTTGTCGACCATCACGCCCGATGCCACGCTACCTTCCAATGACACCTCATTCGCCTCAAGTTCCGCTTCTGCGCCTGATGTTACTCGCAATGGAACTACTCGCGCCTCTACCAACTCGACTCTACCATCTTCCTTGAGCTCTACCCGCAACGCCGCGCTCGACCCTTACCCTGACCATCTCAACCCTTGTGACTTTTCTTCTTCGGACGACGAGGATACACCTGTAAATTACCGCCGGTTCATTGGTCAGCCCAGCACCATGCCCCTCTCGCTCCAACGTTTCCCAGATATCCGCTCGACCCTGAGCAGGCACCCTCCCGTTCCTACCATTTCACTTTCCATCACCGATCACAATAATGACGATCTCCAGCAGATGCAGGCCATCCTGGATCGACTTGCCCGCCGTGAAGACATTCCGGACGACTGGTGGGCGGCTGCGGGTCTGGCACGAACGCTCGACCGAGGTCTCAGCGCGAGCATGGACTCGACGGACAACGAAGGCGCTTCTCAGCCTAACCGCGGTGACCTTTGAGGACCAATTTTCGCATTACATGACATGACATTTGATACTGGCGATGGCGTTTTCTTTCACAGGGACTGAATTCCACCGGATATTTTTTAATTGTGTTGGACTGGACCACGGGGCGTTGTTATGAATCATAAAAGGACTCACTACTGGAGTCGAAAGTTGTTTGATTCTTCTGTCTTTCGGTTATGCTGCACTGGCTGCAGTACCAAGCTCGGCCTTTGCTATGGATCTGGCAAGGGCGCTGTCGTCTTCAGCGATTTCGATTTTTGTATTGATATGCTTATGATGTAATTTTCATAATCGTTTCGAACAAAATGAACTTCTACCCAACGTTATGTTGGGAATACGATACTCCCTGCACATGTCACTTTATAAATATGGCTATGATGTAAAGATATTCGGGGACTCCAGGGGTTCAGAGTAGTGTTTTCTGTCCAATGACAATGGGTGAATTGGGAAGGTTATAAGCCGATCGGTCACATCCCGTGCTGTATCCGGCAAGTCTGAACGTGACCTTCACATGTCGACGCGTCTTTAGATGTACTTTGGAGTCGCAAAGCTATTCTATACTCTGGATGTAACGTTAGTACCTTGATTCCTGGAGCGATGTGTAGGTGAAAGGGAAGACAAATGTGCGGTGACGTATCTCCGGAGTACAGCCGTCCCCACTCAGTCCTGGAGACCCCGCCACGATATCTGGGAATTGAACAAGCTGTGCAGCTGGCATACTCCCACACCTCTGACGATCCGACAACAGCCATAATTAGCACCTACTGTCACATCTACTGCACAGCAATTGCAACCGCAGCACTCTTGCAATACCGAACTACCCTGTATCACATCCCGCCCAACAACCAAGACACCTCGGATCAATTCCAGTGACCAGCACAATCCTCTCCCGCCGAGGGTACTAGCCTCCATTGTCACATATACACGCGGTCCCGAGTCAATCCCTCCATCTACATACCGAAGTCAGCAACATGGATCATCAGGTAGACCACTTGGTCAACAAGGCCTGGGGTAAGCAAACCACCAACACAACCCAGGGGAGAGAAGAAAAAGAAACATACAAGACACCTCCTCCCAGCCTCAGCAACTCAAAAGGACCCCTCCAAACCCTCCTCTACCTCCAAAGCACCCTCACCCCCAACACCCATCCACAAACCCCAAGCTAACAAACCCGCCAGCAAAATTCTGCTCAACACCAGACGACGCACGCCTAATGATCGCGATAAGCGGGATCCCAGGATCCGGCAAAACAGGCCTGGCAATCACAATGGCTGCCCGAATCAACAAAATCCACGCCTCCGAAAACCCCACCGCACCCCCGATCGCCAGCGCAATTCCAATGGACGGGTACCACTTAACACGCGCGCAGCTAGCAGCAATGCCAGACCCAACATATGCCGCGGCCCGGCGCGGCGCAGCCTTCACATTCGACGGTGACAAATTCCTCTCACTGGTGCGGGCACTGCGGGAGCCGGTCACGAGCACAACGGCGGATCTGCATGCGCCCAGTTTCGACCATGCGGTTAAGGATCCCGTTGATGATGATATTGCGATACCGGCGACGAGTCGGGTGTTGTTTTTTGAAGGGAATTACTTGAGTTTGGATGTTTGTCCGTGGAATACTGCGGCGGGCCTTATGGATGAGCTTTGGTTTGTTGAGGTTGATTTTGAGGTTGCTAGGAAGAGGTTAATAAAGAGGCATATTCTGGCGGGGATTGCGAGGGATGAGGTTGAGGCGGACCGGAGGGCTAGGGAGAATGATCTGGTTAATGGGCGGGAGATTGTTGATGGGAGGTTGCCTGTTCAGGAGGTTGTTGTTAGTACTTATGATCCCATTTGGGAGGGATTATGACGGTGAGATTGATGTGTTTGTGGGATTGGATGTATAGATGGTGTTGGTCTCCATAGATGTTGATACAACAGGGGTCATAAATGTGTACACAGTGTCATAGTGTATTGGACAGTTTCTATACGAAAGCCTGGAAGCGAGTGTAACGTTTTATGCATTGTCTTCGCCCTAAGTAAGCCTTTTTGCACTTCTTTTGGCCCATTTTCGAGTGCCTCGGGTTAGCCATCTAGATCATATTAAGGCAGGGAGCGGTGTGAAGGCTGACGACCTTTGTTGTATGTCGATTGATAAGTCATATGCTCTTTTGATATTAGACTCCAGGTTACTTCCTCAACCGTAAGACGATGTATGTGCTGATATGTCCGGACTTGTGTTCCAGGGCTGTTTATGTCAGGCTACAAGTACCATAGGATGAGATAACAATCTTATTTCGATGACTTGTGTCACTACGGTAGGTTCGAAAAAATCAATTCCAGTTATAAATAGAGCATGAATCTTAATGTGAAGTACAATGAGACCCTTCCTACAACAGTCACACAAACTTATTTCCTCAACATTAAAATAAGCCGTTGAGTACGAAGCCAGTAGCACCTGAAAGTACATACGGAGTGTGTAGAGTAGAGAACATCTGGGAGTCCCTGACGCTAAACCGCTTTGAGTAAAGTGTAACAAGCCTGGGGGAACACAATACAGCTTGTACTACCAATACATGTATTATAAGGTATCCATAATATGGACCGTCTACAGAAGATCCCCCCTACAACAAGGGACCTGAGTGTAATATTACAGACCCTGTTTCACCGGACCATGGCTGCGATACAAACTGATTTCCCCGTTTCCTTTGAGCTTATCATCCTTCGACTTCGTCACTCTTTGTCCTTCATTTTCTCTACCAGTCGCTCTTTAGCTCCACACTCTTTACCCTCTTTTCAGACTCGCTGTGCGATCTTGACCTTACACTCTTTCATCCCTCAATCTCCAACATGATCTTCAACAAGTCCATCTTCGCCGTGGCCGTCATGGCCCTGGCCAACGTCGTGGCCGCTGGCACCACCACCGCGCAGACCCCAGCCTGTGTCCTCAAGATTATCGGGTAAGTCCGCAGAAGGAATGGAAGGAATGTCAATGGCTTGGCGCGGAACTCCTAGCTGATCGAACTCCAGTCATCAGGACAACCCGGCCGACAGCAAGGCCATCTGCGGCAAGGATGCCGCCAGCATCCAGTCCGACATCGCCGACAAGTGCGCCGACAGTGATACCGCTCTGAAGTTCTTCGTCAGCAACTGTGCCCAGCTCGGCCACAAAGTTGGTAAGGATTTACAAAAAAACATACCCGATCGTGTTACACCATATCATCCATAACATCTACTGATCGCTTCTCCTTTCCGCAGTTGAGACCTCTCCTTCCTCCACCGCTACCTCCGGTAGTGCTTCCGCCTCCGCCTCCGGCTTCGTCACTGCTGCTTCTTCCAGCGGCGCTGCTGCCACCGGCTCCGGCACTGGTTCCTCCGCCGCTGCTACTGGTACTGGCTCCTCCAGCTCCGAGTCTGGTAGCGCCTCCAGCCCTACTTCGACCTTCAACGCTGCTTCCTCTGACCGCCAGTTCTCTGCGACTACCTTTGCCGCTGCGATCTTCCTTGGCGCTGCTGCTCTGCTGTGAGCACGCCATGTCAGTTGTTGGCACTGCAATGCGAATATCGATGTGAACATAGATAATAGCCTTGATGTGTTGCCTTTGATCTGCTTTGATTCATTATTGTTCGGGAATGTGGTTTGGGCACTCTAATATGCCTTGCTTGCTTCAATACCAATATCAACCTCCTGACAATTATTTCGGATTTGACAGTATTCTTTCTTCTCACTCGCCATGGAACTGCGTGGCAGAATTGTCCGAGATGTAGTAGACTGATGACTGTCCTGCTTGAGTCCTGCCAGCGCCTAGGAGGACAACAATCAGCTCTGCCACACGTGGATGAATTCTCCATAATGTTTTATGAGTTTGTACAAAGTTCAGATCGCCCAATTAGAGACTCCAAATCGACCAGTTCTCCATTACAGTAGTTGCTATAGACACCTGATTTTGAGGCCGACCTTACATCAATGGTGTATAGTTTCTTTCTGTACTCTACATTTGTTTGACTGGAACCGGCAGCACTCTTCGAAAGCTCATGCTTTGCCTTATAGGACCACTAGGCTGAGTGGACTTCCCCGCGATCTACTTCTGTGAGACAGAAGCATGGCCTATGATCGAGCTAAGATAAGTAAAGATCAACAAGTGGGCCATAGAAAAGATTCAACAGACCGACAAGATGGCGAACAGAACTTTGTTATTCAAGGGTACTCCTTGGCCCCTTGTCAGAAGCATTGTAGATCCATCACATCTGCAGTAAGGGTTGAGAATAGGCCTCCACGATATTGACCAGGAGATAGGGACTTGAATTCGAAGCCAAACTAGCAATGGCATTCGAAATCAACTGAGCTCGGAATGTTTCAAGCCGTCCGGCACATCAACTCCGATGGCATGCGGACGGCGCGTGTTCACGTGACTGTTTCGCGTGCAATATGGGGAAGACTGTGTCTCACCGCCCTTTCAGCAGTCACACCGCCTTCTTTGTCCATCCTAAATGAATCACGCTAGCAGTGATGGCACAGACATACTAACCAAATGTGGTAAGATTAGAGCCATTCTGCGTGGCAGAATGGAGCTTTGTAAGGAAATAGTGGACCCAAGCACAGGTTGGTAAGCTGAAAAAACGCGGACGCGAAGGTCCTGGGCAACGCGTCCACTCGGCAACCAAAGAATCCTCTGCCCCTCTGGTCTCTTCTTCTTCTCACACCCCTCTACGGGCTTAACATTCACCTCTTCTTCCTACAGCCCTGAATACCCTTACCCTTAATCTTGATACCCCCGTTCTACCTTTTTTATCCTCTTTCCAGCCCCCTACTACCTAAACTCCACCAAGATGTTCGTCTACAAGAGAGGTGAGTTCACGAGTCTGATACTTGGCGGGGAGATTTGCAGCGATGGCGGGCTTCGAGCTCTGCATCTCGTGGCAGTGATCCCTTTTGCCACAAGTGTCTGATCGAGTTTTAACGCGCCTTGAACCCACAGATGGCCGCAAGGAACGCGTGCAGTTCGACAAGATCACTGCCCGTGTCTCGAGGCTTTGTTACGGCCTCGACCCCGAGCACGTCGATGCGGCCGCTATCACCCAGAAGGTTATCTCTGGTGTCTACCAGGGTGTCGGCACCATCGAGCTGGATAACTTGGTACGTTTGGCCACCGTCTCTTTTTTAAACATCCTGCTAATTGCAACTCCAGGCTGCCGAGACTGCCGCCTACATGACCGTCACACACCCGGACTACGCCATCCTGGCTGCCCGTATTGCCGTTTCCAACCTCCACAAGCAGACAAAAAAGCAATTCTCCATGGTCATCTCCGATCTCTACCACTATGTTAACCCCAAAAACAATAAGCCTGCTCCTATGATCTCTCAACAGCACTATGAGATTGTTATGAAGCACGCCGATGAGCTTAACTCGGCCATTGTCTACGACCGCGACTTCAACTACAACTTCTTCGGTTTCAAGACCCTGGAGCGTTCATATCTTCTTCGTATCAACGGCAGTGTTGCCGAGCGTCCCCAGCACCTGCTGATGCGCGTTGCTGTCGGTATCCACGGCGAGGACATCGAGAAGGCCATTGAGACCTACCACTTGATGTCCCAAAAGTACTTCACCCACGCCTCCCCCACTCTCTTCAACGCCGCCACTCCCCAGCCCCAGCTTGCTTCTTGCTTCCTGGTCGACATGTCCGCAGACAGCATTGAGGGTATCTACGACACTCTTAAGACCTGTGCTATGATCTCCAAGACCGCTGGTGGTATTGGTTTGAATGTTCACCGCATCCGTGCCACCGGTTCCTACATTGGTGGAACAAACGGCTCCTCCAATGGTATTGTTCCTATGCTTCGTGTGTTCAATAACACTGCCCGCTACGTTGACCAGGGTGGTAACAAGCGCCCTGGTGCGTTTGCCATCTACCTGGAGCCCTGGCACGCAGATGTCTTCGAGTTCCTCGATCTCCGTAAGAACCACGGTAAGGAAGAAGTTCGTGCCCGGGATCTCTTCTACGCTCTCTGGACTCCTGATCTGTTCATGAAGCGTGTTGAGGCTAACGGTGACTGGACTCTCTTCTGCCCTAACGAGGCCTCTGGTCTCGCTGATGTCTACGGTGATGAGTTCGAGGCTCTCTACGAGAAGTACGAGAAGGAGGGCCGTGGCCGCAAGACCATTAAAGCTCAGAAGCTCTGGTATGCCATTCTTGAGGCCCAGACTGAGACTGGTAACCCCTTCATGCTGTACAAGGATGCTTGCAACAAGAAGAGCAACCAGAAGAACCTGGGAACTATTCGCAGCTCCAACCTGTGCACTGAGATCATCGAGTACAGTGCTCCTGATGAGGTCGCTGTTTGCAACTTGGCTTCTCTTGCCCTTCCTACTTTCGTTGATGCTGCCCGTGGCGAGTACGACTTCGGCAAACTTCACGAGGTTGTCCAGGTTCTCGTTCGCAACTTGAACAAGATCATCGACATCAACTACTACCCCGTCCCCGAGGCTAAGAAGAGCAACTTCCGTCACCGTCCCATTGCCCTCGGTGTCAACGGTCTTGCTGATGCTTTCCTGGCTCTGCGTCTGCCCTTCGACTCCCCCGAGGCTAGACAGCTGAACATCCAGATCTTCGAGACTATCTACCACGGTGCCCTGACTGCCTCCTCCGACCTGGCCAAGCAGCTCGGTACCTACGAGACCTACCCCGGCTCCCCCGTCTCGCAGGGCATCCTGCAGTACGACATGTGGGATCGTACTCCCACTGACCTCTGGGACTGGGCTTCTCTGAAGGCCAAGATCGCCGAGACTGGTGTCCGCAACAGTCTGCTGGTCGCTCCCATGCCCACTGCCTCTACCAGTCAGATCCTCGGCTTCAACGAGTGCTTCGAGCCCTACACCTCGAACATCTACTCCCGCCGTGTCCTGGCCGGTGAGTTCCAGGTCGTCAACCCCTGGCTCCTGAAGGACCTTGTCGACCTCGGCTTGTGGTCCGACAACATGAAGAACCGTATCATCG